GAGCTGTGCRGAGGAGTCGGGCTGGTCAGTGGCTTTCCCAGGTTCGTGGCTACACTGTTGAAAGGATCCTCCTACAAGGAGAGAAAGATAGATGAAAGCAGGGAGTGGAGCAGCAGAGCTGCTGAAAAGGGTGTCAAAAAGGGACTAGGGGTGACMGAGGCCCTAGGAAAAGAGATGGGTGGACAGGAGAAGGCAGAGAAGGGGATGAAACAAGTCACTTTCTCCATCTCTATTCTTCTGACTCCAACCTCAGAGGATGCAAGGATCCCGCAGTGTTTGGCTCTAGGATGTCTCATTGTAACCTGGCATTGAACCAGCACCCCCTTTATGCTCTGACTGAATGCCTCCAACATTCTTCCAAATTCTTGGACTTCCCTGGCCCCCGGGGATTGGATCTGAGTATGCCAGGTGGCAGAAGCAGTTTCTCTGGGCATGGCCAGTTGACTGCAGTGGGACAGGTGCCTACTACACAGCAAGGAGGCAAGAACACACACCCAGAGGGTGCGTTCCTGCTCCCCCACCCACAGCCCTGGTGCAGTGTGAGTCTTCAGTGGACGAGCATTCCTGGACACTGACTGCACTCCCCACCCCTGCTGGTCTAGGAGATTCTTCTGTCCATTTCCAAGCCCTCTGATTCTCCTCAGAGTCTGGAGTGGGCTTGCAGGTGGAAAAGACACCAAGAGAGACGTGCAGCATCTATAGGCAAAGCTCTTTCTAGAAGATGTGCAATTGGTTTTCAGTGGCCTTTCTAAACCTCCTTCTCCACTGATTCAGGCTTCCTTATCTTTCTTTGCTTTGTCAAAACAGAATATGAACATCTACAAACCACACATAGCTCCCAGGTATCAAAGTTGGTTAATAATAGATATAATAGTAATGGTCACAGTTTACTGAAGTCTTACTACGTGCTAGGTAGCATGTAAAGTCACCCATTTTACTTTATTTCTATAAGAAACTATGGCTTAGAGAAATTAAACAGCTTGCCCAAGGTTGTTTAGCTGGTGGAATTTGGATTTAGACTCAGTTTGACTTCAGAGTCGTCACTATTAGCCACTTATGTTTACCCTGAAAAAGGAATAAAACTCTCTCTATAAAATTTTAGCTAGGCAGCCAGGTGTGATTTCACATGCCTGTCATCCCAGTGGCTCAGGAGTCTGAGGCAGGAGGATCGTGAGTCCAAAGCCAGCCTCAGCAATTGAGCAAGGCCTTAAGCAACTCAGTGAGACCCTGTCTCTAAATAAAATATCAAAAAGGGCTGGAAGTGCAGGTCAGTGGTTAAGTGCCCCTGCGTTCAATTCCTGACCAAAAAAAAAAAAAATGTATCCAGACACAATGGCACACTCCGATAATTTCAGCAACTTGGGAGGTTGAGGCAGGAGAGTCGCAAGTTCTAGGTCAGTCTCAGCAAATTAGTGAGACACTATCTCAAAGTTTAAATAAATAAATAAATAAAAGGACTGGGGATGTAGCTCAGTGGTAAAGCATCCCTGGGTTCAGCATCCAGTAACACACACACACACACACACACACACACACACACACACACACCAATAATAACAATAAAATAGAGGCTGAGAGGGGTTGAGTAATGTACGCATTGTCACTTAGGAGGAAGGAGTAAGCTGTAAAGTGAAGGCAGTCCAATTCTAGAGAAAGCCCAGTGTGTAACTGCACCATTAGTTTGCTTCCCCAGTTGTGAAAGAAAGGACCCATGAGCTAGTGGGGTGGGATAGGACACTTCCTGTATTCCTCAGCTAACCCAAGCCAATGTTGGCCCCCTGGGAAGAGAGAGAAGGCTCTCATTCTCCTTCTGATGCAAACGGGGAAAGGAGGAAGGGAGAGGGAGAGGCCTATATGGCAAAGGGTTGGGACTGGAAGGGTGAAGTAATTCATTAAATCAGATGTATAAAATACTTATAAAAAGACAGGTACATGAGACTATTTATACCCCTACATTTGGGGTGGGAAAAGGGATCTGAGGGAAAATTACTAAACTATGTTTTTATTTTATTTTGTTTTGGTACTGGTGATAGATCCCAGGGGTGCTTAGCCATTGAGCTACATCCCCAACCTTTTTTATTGTTTCTTTTGAGACAGGTTCTCACTAAGTTGCTGAGGCTGGGTTTGAACTTGCACTCCTCCTGCCTCATCCTTCCAACTCACTGGGATTAGCAGTGTGCACAACCACAACCATATCCGCCCGAACTAGTTTTTTGAGTTTCTCAGTAGTGAGAAATAAGTTCAGTGGAGGTAGATCACATCATTTTGGAGAATTAATTAATTACTCCCCGGGTTCCTGATGTAATGAAGGGTCTAGTACTGTGGTCCAGCTTGTTTGAGGCAAACCGGACACAGCATCTGGATGCTGACCAATAAGTGAAATTTTAGAAGTGATTTTGATCTATCTGCTCTTCTCCCTTGGGAAGTTGCTATTTCTCTCTCTCTCTCTCTCTCTCTCTCTCTTTATTTTTTGGTACTAGAAATTGAGCCCAGGAGCACTCTACCTCTGAGCTACATCCCAAGTCTTTTTTATTTTGAGGCAGGGTTTGGCCAACGTGCCCAGACAGGCCTTTAACTTGCAATCCTCCTGCCTCAGCCTCCAGGGTCACTGTGATTATAGGTGTGTGGCTCCGAACGCAGCCAGTCTGTTTTACTCAATCAAAGCAATCCTGGAGTAGGTGACAGTTCTTTGGGGTCTGAAAGAATACAAAGAATGCAGTTTGATAACAGGGAGATAATATTGTCCCACATTTAACTTCTGTCCTAAATTCCTCCCTTTTACTTTTTTTCTTGTCTCAGCCTCATTTCTGTTTCCTTGGCCCATTACAGGTGCCTCTGACTTTGACCTTTCCCTACTTTACTTCATTCTCCAACTGTCTCTAAAGTCATGGTCATTTTAATAAAATAACAGCATTGCTACTTGTATTCTTACAGACCTCCTCTTGCCTGTGAGTGGCAAACTGCCATTTTGTCGCCCTAGCGTAGCCCACTCACCCTCCCAGGTTTCTGACAAACTTCCCAACTTCACACACCCTCACCTCTCACCATTCTCTGAACATTGCATACACTTTTAGGTCCCTGTTGCTGGGCTATACATTATCTTTCTGCTCATCTGTTCATTGCCTCAGACTTATTTTTTTCCCTAATACTGGGAGTTGAATCCAGGTATGAACTATATCCCTCAGCCCTTTGGAAAACTTTAAGCCAGTGTCTCACTAAATTGCTGAGGCTGGCCTCAAACTTGTGATCCTCCAGCCTCAGCCTCTTAAGTCCCTGGAATCACAGGTTTGTGCCACTGCACCAAGCTACCTCATATTTTTTTTATCCTCTATCAATTTAGCCCAGATATCAGCTAGAAAAGTCAACTCTGCTTCTCCAAGCCGTGTCAGCCTCATTCTTCTTGGGTACCCAGAGCACTTAGAACAGACTTCTTATTATTCTGACAAGTATACGTATATTTGCATCTCTATGTCTTGCATGCTAAACTCCTGGGGAGCAAGAACTGAGTCCTGTCAGCTCTGAATTCCTAGTATGTAACTTGTAGTAAGTATCCAAATGTGGTTCAAATGTTAAGGGCCAGTTGGACATGATGGTGCATGCCTTTAATCCAGTCACTCTGGAGACTGATGCAAGAGGATTGCATGTTCAAGGCCAGCCTCAGGAATTTAGTGAGGCTCTAAGGAACTTAGCAAGACCCTGTCTCAAAATAAGGAATAAAAAGGACTGGGGATATAGATCATTTGTAAAGCACCCTTGTGTTCAATCCCTAGCATAGATTGGTAGATAAATAGAGATGGGGGAAGGAGGACTGGGATGGAATATAAGTAAGAAAGTGTTTGCCTAGCCTTCAGGAACTCCTAGGTTCAACCCCTAGTACTGCAAAAATAAAAGGTAAATAAATAAAAAATAGTTCTTCAAAGCATAGAGTTTTCCCCAGAATTCAGAATACAGCCTAGAATAAATGAAAAGACATAAGAACAAAGATGAAGAGGCAGGTAAAAGGGCATCTTGGAAAAGGTACTGAAGTGCACGCACTGAGGCAGGTAGAACAGGTATGGATATTCACCTTGCAAAATGGAGGAATAAGCTTCAGAAAGTTCAAGGTCTTGCCCGTGGCCTCGTGGTAAGTGGCAAAGACTCAAACCCAAATCTCCTACCTCTTCACCAAGATCTTCAAAACTTTTTGTTTTTTCTTTCTTTCTCTCTTGCTTTCTGTGCTGAGGATTGAACCCAGGCCTTGTGCACTCTAAGCTTGCACCCTACCACTGAGATACACACCCAGCTCCAATTAAAAAAAAAAAAAAAAAGTTTTGTTTTTCCTTTTCAGTGTGGGGATTGAACCCAGGACCTTGTGTATGCTAGGCAAATGCTCTACCACTGAGGCCTTTTTTGTTTTTTATTTTGAGACAGGGTCTCACTAAGTTGCTGAGTCTGGCTTTGAACTTGCAATCCTCTTACCTCATCCTCCCAGATTGCTGGGGTGACAGCACCACTGCACCTGGCAAAACTTTATTTTATCCCTAGAATCAAATGAGAGAATACTAAATGCTGGGCAGTGCTGTAATTTCCAAATTTGAACCCATTAGATCCTAATAATCCTATGAGGTAGGTATTATTATTATTAGGAAACTAAAGTACAGAGATGGTGAGTAACTTGTCCAAGGTCATTGATATGAAATAGCACTTGCCTCAACTTCTCTGATGTGAAAAAAATTCAAAAAGAAAGAAAGAGCAGTCTAAGTCTGAAACCAGGCCACTCTGGCCTCGGAGTCCATGCTCCTGACTGTGAGGCTATGCTGCTCTTCCATGCCAAGGATCGTCCTTAATTTCAGAAGAGATTCTGCTTCCTTTCCCCTGTGTTAAATAGGATCGTAACTTCCTCGCAGAGAATGAACATCTTTCCTGTTCATCCCTGCCTCTCTTTCCACTCCTCTGTGCAATTTCTGTGCCATGCCCTACTCCCTCCTTCTGGGTTCTCACTTGCTCTTTCTCTCTTACAGAAGTGCATTAGTAGAGGGGAGCTCCAGGTGTCTCTGTCATATCAGCCGGTGGCACAGAGAATGACAGTGGTGGTCCTCAAAGCCAGACACTTGCCGAAGATGGATATCACCGGTCTCTCAGGTAGCAGCTATTTACTTCAACCTACGTGTGACCATCTGAACCACACTCCTTGCCTGTGGCCCAGACATACCCACATTTCAGGAGCCCTTGCCTCTGTCTTTATGTCCAATAGATTTCCCTGGGAGGGGAAGTACTTTGGGTGAGCAAAGGAGGTATTTACATTTCACTAGGTATCCTGAAAGGTCTGCACGCCAGGAGCGGAGCATTGCTCCAGAGGTCATGACTTCTCAAAACTTCCTGATACAGGAAGGAAATACCCCTTAACTTCCCACTGATTGCATAAACACAATTTGTATCTTTTTTACAATACCTTATGATTATTAGAGTGGACTTTAGGCTGTGGTATTCAGAATTCATTAAATTATCTGTGGTAAATTCATTAAATTATACTTATAAAAATCCTGGGCTAGGGATGTGGCTCAAGCCATAGCGCACTGGCCTGGCATGCGTGCGGCCCGGGTTCGATCCTCAGCACCACATACCAACAAAGATGTTGTGTCCGCCGAGAACTAAAAAATAAATATTAAAATCCTCTCTCTCTCTCTCTCTCATAAAATAAATAAATAAATAAAAGAATTAAAAAAAAAAAATCCTGTAAGGGCTGGGGCTGGGACTCAGTGGTAGAGCACTTGCCTGGCATGTGTGAAGCACTGGGTTCAATTCTCAGCACCACATATAAATAAATAAAAATAAAGGTCTGTCAACAACTAAAAAAAAAATCATGTAATTCACTGGGTATGGTGGTGCATAACTGTAATCCTAGTGGCTCGGGAGGCTGAGGCAGGAGAATTGCAAGTTTGAAGCCAGCCTCAACAACGTAGTGAGGCCCTAAGCAACTTAGTGAGATCCTGTCTCAAAAGCAAAAACAACAGGGCTGGGGTTATGGCTCAGCGGTAGTGCACTTACCTGGCATGCGTGAGGCACTGGGTTCAAGTCTCAGCACCATAAATAAATAAATAAATAAATAAAGGACAGTCATCAAACATTAAAAAAAAAAAAAAAAAAAGAAAGAAAGAGAGAAAAAGGGCTCAGTGGTTAAGTGCCCCTGAGTTCAATCCCTGGTACAAAAAAAAAAAAAAAAAAAAATTATGCAATTTAAGGATAAACTTCTTGTTGTAAGTCTTATATACTATTGATAATATTGTAAGTTCCTTACAACTACTGACCCATTGATTTAGGTCAACATACTTAATGACTTTTCCATTGGTAATAACTGGGAGTGGAGGAAAGTGTTTATTGTACAGTGTCAGAAGAACAACTTTATAAATGCCTTCATGTGGTGTTATCTTTATACACTGAAGCAACAGCTTTGCAACAAAATTAAAAAACAAAATATTTAACTTCGGGGAGAAAAAAAAAAGGGCTGGGTTTGTAGCTCAGTGTTGGAGCACTTGCCTAGCACATGTGAGCCACATAAAAATAATTAAATAAAGGTATTGTGTCCATTTACAACTAAAAATATATTTTTTAAAAACTGCTTCTTTGTTAACTGGGCTTGGTGGCATATGCTTATAATCCCGGTGACTTTGGAGGCTGAGATAGGAGAATTGTAAGTTCAAGGCCAGCCTCTGCAATTTAGCAAAATAAAAAATAAATAAGAATAAGTGGGATGAGGCAGAAAGATTGTAAATTAAGGCCAGCCTCTGTAAGTTGGTGAGGCCCTCAGCAACTTAAGAAGATCCTTTTCAAAATAAAGAATAAAAAGACTGGAGATGTAGTCAGTGGGAAAGTGCTCCTGGGTTCCATCCCCAGTACCAAAAATAAAAGTATATAAAAGTTTGGCCGGGGATGTAGCTCAGTGAAAGACCACTCCTGGGTAAAATCCCCAGTGTGACCAAAAAGAGAAAGAAAATGCTTGCTTCTGTCCTGATGAAGGAAGTTGATCTGTTCTGCTCCTGTTGGTTTTCTTGGCCCTCTGTCAAGCGGACAGACTCAGGCGTAGTGTGTGCACATTTAGGAAGCCGTCCCTGGAGACTTTGTTGGGGTGGTCACCAAAGCTCTGAGTAGCAGAGTCCCAACCTGAAATGATGGTTATATGAAAGGACCGTGTCATAGGCTTGTCTCTCTTTTTCTTGTCTCCTTGGGGGCCCCAGATCCTTACGTCAAGGTGAACGTCTACTACGGCAGAAAGCGCATTGCCAAGAAGAAAACCCATGTAAAGAAGTGCACTTTGAACCCCATCTTCAATGAGTCTTTCATCTATGACATCCCAAGCGACCTCCTGCCTGACATCAGCATCGAGTTCCTCGTCATCGACTTCGATCGCACCACCAAGAACGAGGTGGTGGGGAGGCTGATCCTGGGGGCACACAGTGTCACAAGCAGCGGTGCCGAGCACTGGAGAGAGGTTTGCGAGAGTCCCCGCAAGCCTGTAGCCAAGTGGCACAGTCTGAGCGAGTACTAATCCTGTTCTTCTCGCCTCTAACCCTGGGGCCAGGCTGGGGAGGGACGTGGTGGGGAGAGATGTCAGAGAAGCGGACTCAAAACCTCATTTTAGTTGTAGAAGAAAATTTCTTACAAAACAAACCCCCGACAAGGAACATCCCACATCACCACAGCCGCAGATCAGTTCTTAAGCAAAGACGATTTTTTTTTTTCTCCTTTGCAAGGCACTAGAAATTCTTTTGTTTTTTTAAATGGGGCGGGGAAAGAGAGGGAAAGACCYCTACAAGTCTATATATAACACTGTAACCTTATACTTGCATGTCTAATACAAACTGAAGAAATTAGCCTAATTGCCAATATCAAGTTGCAGATTTTAATCCATGAAAATTGTGTTTTGTGCCGAATCGTATTTGCTGATTACCTGAAATTGGCCTCTTTTTACTGGGCTTCTCTGGAGAGTTAGTCCTTCTCCCCACCTTGGCAGAAAACAAATTTTTGCTCTTGTAAAGCCTCATGTTTTCACTATCTCCATCTTTTCTCCCTGTTACCTCTCACGTCTCTGCTCTTTGGCTGAGACCAAGGTCCAGAGGTCTATAGTAAGCCAAGAAACAAAGGTTGAGTGAAAAGGCAGGGTTTGCAAGAGAAGGAGTAATTGAGCAGGGGGATATTTTTGCTGTTAATCTTCCTGCTCTGAAGGGGTAGTTGGTAGTCTATGACTCACTGGTAGCCCCAGCAAAGCACATAAAACTCATCGGACTTACCAGGAAGAATTTGGATTTACAAAACTAGACAATTTCTTTAAAAGACTTACCAGGAAGAATTTGGATTTACAAAACTAGACAATTTCTTTAAAAGGAGCTTTGGAGGCTTCAAATTCAGCTCTAGGAGACTACCAGTGAACTCATCCAGATGATTCCAAATTTTATTTGCAGGAATGAGGACAAGGAGGAGAGAAATGAGAGGACTACCATCCCCTTTGGTAGTTATATCCGGTAGTGACAGCCATTCCTTAGCTGAATCGGGCTGGAAGTCCTCAGAGGTTGGAAGGATTACATTGGCCTTTGTTTTTCCAGGAAGGCTGACATGGAGAAGAATTAGAATCTTCTCAGGTGACTCAGATGTTACAATGAAGTAACTTTTGAAAGGCCCTCAGAAATGATTATTTCTCCTTGAAATTTTCAATAATAGCTCTTAAAAATAACAGTGTGGCTGAGTAGTAATGGTAACTTGGGGTGGGCATAGTTGGTGCCCATCAACTCAGGAGGCAGAGGCAGGAGGATTGCAAGTTAGAGACCAACCTGGGCAACTTAGCAAAACCCTGTCTCAAAATAAAAAATAAAGGGGCTGGGGATATAGCTCAGTTGGTAGAGTGCTTGCCTCACATGCATAAGGCCCTGGGTTCAATCCCCATCCCCAGCACCACAATATATATATATATATGAATAAAAATAAAAAGGGGTAGGATGTAGCTCAGCGGTAGAGTCCCTGGGTTCCATTCCTAGGACCACAAGATAAAAAGAAAAGTAACCTGAATGTTCTCAGAACYTCTTTTCCCTCAAAACAAAGTGCATCATTCTTGGAACTTCTGAGTCTCATGACATGGTAAAGGGATGAGGGAAACACTGGGCAGAACAGGTTGAGAGATTCAGTGTTGTACTGGAATTTGAATTCAGGACTCCTCACCCCTAGTGCAGCTGTCTCCACGGTTGAGACTTTTCACATGGAAGAGGCCTCATTACCCACAGGTGAGCTTGGACAGGCAGTACAGATTTTTATTTCAGTCTGAAGAGGAACAAAATCAAATAAACAACAGCTTGATCCAGGGCCTGAAAGAGTAACCGAGATTGGATTGTCCACTTCAATCCACAAGATCCTTCCTTTCCAACTTGCTTCTGAGAAGGGAATACRAGAGTTGAGTCTGCATGGACAGGGTGGTATGGTAACATTGCCTTTGTTGTTCCCTTAGCTCTAGTGGATTTAAATCCATCTGTACCSCCCCCACACCCCAGTTCTTTTGTTTGGTTTTTTCTTTGAACCCATATTTCTTGACAATGTAGAGCAGTTCTGTGCAGGCACAAAGCCCACTCTCTGTTTGTATTCCTGACATTCCCCCTCCGGTCCCCATAATCCAACTCACTATCTCATTCATCATCATTTGGGGTCACGCACCACTAGTCTCTGTCCTTTAATCTATAGAGTGTAAATACTGTATCATACGTAGAAGAAAATAATTTTTGTTTTCTAAAAATGCATTTCAAGATAGTTTAATGTAAATTTGGCAGGAGCACTCTGAAGCCCCATTAGGAAAACTTTTAAATGGTTCCTCTTCATCGCCTTAATGTCTAAAGATCAGAAATCGCTAAGCAACCCGCTTTTGTTTCCTTCCCAGAAACAATGCAAAGCAACAGGTGGAGGTAGTCTGGTCTTTGCCCTGCTGTGTGTGCCTCTGTAGCTCCTCCTGACGTCAGTCTGGGAAGACAACCTCACCCCACTCCTCTCTCCCCACCTCCTTGTAGCTTTATACCTTTCATTCTTTGGGTCTACGGAGCAGAGGATGGTAGGTGCCAGGGGAGGAACCAGTGGTCCTGTAGGCTAGGAGCTGCCTCAGTGTCTTTGCCAGAAAAAGGYGAAGAGGTGGACAGTATAGGGTTCCCCCCTCCTACCTCAGGCCTGATCCATCGTGCCCTGCATTTTGCTGTCCCAAAGTTTCTTAGCTAACTTTGGTTTTCGAATTTGTTCTTTCCAGAGCTAACTGGGAAGGGTGGAGTCAGTTGAAAGACAAGAGAGTCACAKCCTACGTTTTGCACAAAGCACTCGTGGTCAGGAATAGGTTAGGGAATGGTCACTTCTGATTTTGCAAGAGCCAGTCCTTCTGTCTGTATATCTTGATTCCCTTGAGACAAGAGTTTTTCATAATAACAGAAGTCCCTGTATGAGTTATTCCTTATTTCAGTTCTCAGAGGAACACAGCCAAGATGTACATGTTGATGGACCGTGCTCTAGGTATGAGAACAGAGCTGGTTTGAGGGACAGGTGTGGCTTGCTCAGGAGAGGGAAAATGCAAGTCCCTTTTGGAAGGCTTTTACTATGGCCATGACAGTGACATTGCCCTCACCATGATCCCTCTCCAAAGTGGTCGTCTTTCTTTACCTTGTGTCTTCTCTTGTAAAAATGAAACAAAAATAAATGTGTCAAATTAAAAAAACAAAAAAAAAAAACACAAAAAAACAAATGAAAAAGCTAACATGAATTGTGTGAAATTGCATAATGCTGTAACGCTAACCTACAATATGTAATGCTATCTTGTATGTTGAATTTGTTAATGCACCACACCAGTGCAAAATAAAGACTGATTCACATTAAATAGTCACAGTAATGTCAGCATGATTCTCTTGGAAACTGGTTGGCTATGAATGAAGTTAACACTCAGACCCCCAAGGATGTCCTAGGGCATGTTTTCCCAAGACCACCCGATTCCTAATCGTCTGGGGCATTTGTTTAAAAGTGCAGATTCGAGCCAGGTGTGGTGGTGTATGCCTATAATTCCAATGACTCAGGAGGCTGAGTCAGGAGAATTGAAAGTCTGAAGTCAGTCTGGACAATTTAGCAAGACCCTATCTCAAAAAAATAAAAACAAAAGAGGGGCTGGGGTTGTGGCTTAGTGATAGAGCACTTGCTTTGCACATGTGAGGCACTGGGTTCAATCCTCAGCACCCCATAAAAATAAATAAACAAAATAAAAATATTGGGTCCATGTATAACTAAAAAAAAATTTTTTAAATAAAAAATAAAAGGGCTGAGATATAATTCAGTGGTAGAGTGCCCTGGGTTTAATTTCTAGGACAGTACTTAATATATGGTGAATCCTCCTGTTTCAGCTTCCAGGATAACTGAGATTATAGGCATGTACCACTGGTGGGTGCTTTTCTGTCTCTTGTGCCCTGTGCTGGGGATTGAACCCAACTGCATCCACATTTCATATTTCCTTTTTTTCTTCCCTTCTTTTTTTATAATTTTTWAATTTTTTATTTTTATACTAAAGACTGAACCCAAGGGCACTTAACCATTGAACTACATCTCTACTTTTTRTTGTGTGTGTGTGTGGTGCTAGGGACTGAACCCAGGGCCTTGTGCGTGCAAGGCAAGCACTCTATCAACTGAGCTATATCCCTAGCCCCTCCACCCTTTTTATTTTTTAGACAGAATCTCACTAAATTGCTGAGGCCTTGCTAAATTGCCCAGTCTGTCCCCGAACTTAGAGATCYTCTTGTTTCAGTCTCTCAAATTGCTGGGATTATAAGTGTGTGCCACCATGCTCAGTCCTAGTTCATATTTTATTTTATAATTAACACTTAAAATTATACATATTTATGATGTGCAGCACAGTGTTTCATAATATGTGCACATTGTGGAATGGCTAAATCAAGCCAAATAGCATATATATAAAACATCTTGCATTGTTTATGCACTAGTTATCATTTATTGGTGATGAGAACACATAAATTCTACTGTCAGCAATTTTCAAGTGTACAGTACATGGTTATTTAACTATAATCATGTTGTACATTAGATCTCTTGAACTTATTCTTCCTGCGATTTTATATAMTTTAATCAACATCTTCCCAATATATATCCCTCATTGTTTTCTTTTTAATAATAAYAGCAAAAATAGCTAGGATTGAATCTTTTTTTCAGTACTGGGAATTGAATCCAGGGGTCTTCTATCACTGAG